GGTCAGACTTTTTCACGGAAGCTCTGAACGAAAGGAATGTTCTGCCCCGTGTCCCTCGAGCGAGTGCGATTCACTGGACTACTCTGGCTCGCGACAGGGACGAATGGAGACGTTACTGGCGCCCGCTCGAGGAAATCGACGATCAACGGGAGTACAGGTGATACAGGTGATACTGGCGTCTGCAGTAGACGCAACGAAGGGGTCAGCAACTGAGCAACCTAGTTAGTCAACCGAATTCTCCAGTGATACTTACTAATGTTGTCGAATGATAATATTAACACTATCAGGAGACCATAAAAACATTGCCTTCTTATGTTCTTGTACATGAATCAGTGGCCGAGTTCACACGTTAGTGATGGTCGGAAGAGTTCTGTGACAATGATCAGTATGAGAAGGATGCGTGGTTTTTATCAAATCGCAAAGCTTGAGTCGTACTCGTATTCGTCATAAAGCGCCAGCAGAGAATGAACTCGAACTTGTTCTATCCTATGGTGACTTATCCTTACCACTTCCCTTATTTTTCATTTTTCTCGACCTTCTTTATCAACCCGTCCTATCCTATGAAACATCCTAAATTTTTAGGTCACATCGTATATATCAGAAGGGATGTAGCCAAAAATCTAACATTGCTTACCACGTTTATCAGCTCCTAACCATTCTGTAACTAAATAGTTATATGCGACCCAGTCGCACCCTATAATACACACTGAAGCAGCAATACTCCGTCGCCATACGAAATGAAAAAGTGATTTAGCAGCATTTATCAGGATTTATCAGTTGTTACTAGTCCTTATCGCTTTCTATAGCTACTTATCAGCCTCTATCCGTTGTTATCTGCAGTTCTCAGGAACCATCGTCGGTCCCTTTACACACCTCATCACCTACGAAGGTGCCAGGGTTCTACTGTCAACACGTAGGCATAACGGATTCAATGGCTCTTCCCTTCTATGGCTCTTCCTATCAATTGTTACCATTTTACCATCATCTGACATCAGTGTTCCCTTCCTACTGCCCATATCCCCTCCACATGTCAAGAGGAACAAGAGTTATGAATTTCCAGTCAAGCAACCGAGTCATAGCCGATGTACAGGTCGGCTCATTAACCAACCTTAGAGGGATGGAAGGCATGGTTTATCTGAGCGAATATCAATCTGGGATTTGAGCCCTGTTACAATACGTGTGTGAAGTGCGCCTTCGTACTATGGCCCGCATAATTATTAAGCGATTTCTCAGTCAATTTACTGACTTTTAGGTGGGTTAAGATCCTATTCAGTTCTATCTTTCAACTGACTGCAGTGTCAACAGGCGACCAGAATGGGTGGCACAG